AAGTTACTATTTCATCATCACAATCTTGACCTTCTCTAGCCTTCTAACTCTGTTCAAGCACCTTTTGGCTATCCTTATCTGAGTTTTTACCATTTTGATAGTACTATCTAGAATTATATTATTCTCCGGTATTGCCATTGTTAAACTGATTTGTATATAATTCAGGTTCATTAAACAGTTTATGCTTATTTTTAATGATCTTACTATTGGGTATTTCACTTGTGCATTCGATCTTCATAGCTAGTTGGTTACCTAACAATGATAAGTTTTCTTTTTCTTTTTTGCTTGTTTGTAAAGGTTTGTTACCATCTGTATTAACTACCTCATTTGGTTTGTCACTTTCTTTTTTTTTTCTATCTTTATTCACTTTGCACTCCTCAACAATGCTACTTTGTTCCTTACTCTTAACGTCTTTGTCTATATTGTCTTCAATTTGTTGAACTATTTTTCCAAACTATCTTTCTGATCTTTTATCGCTATTGAACCTATCTTCTGTTATTGATTTTTCTCTCTCGCCATTTCTCGCACTTCCTTTAACCCCTTCATATTTGTTTTTTCCTGCTCCAATTTCATTTTTATTACAACCTAAAAGACCAACATTTTCACCAGGCTTCATATCACCGATTTCATTCTGGATACAATTCTCAAGATCTATAAGATCATCAGAGCTTTGGGCTTCAAAAAATTTCGAGTCATTACTTTCATCAGGATTTAAATAACACTTTTGAAAGTTTTGATCTCGTACAGCTGATGTTTGAACCTCGCCCTTCACAAGACTAAGATTATCAGCTTTATCTGCATTGACTGGACTCGAATAATACTCAAATACTTCACCTTTAATATTACTAGTAGCTTTAGTATCATTAATAATTTCACCAGCAGAATTGTAGGTTTTATAGTTACCCTTTTGATTCACTATATTAGCATTTACTGGGCTTCTACCCTTACTATAATAGCCACGCTTATACATTTTATTGCCCTTAACCTTCATCTCAATATTATGAAATCCAAGACCCTCTTTAATTCTCGAATTGTCACCTTCAGCATTAATTGAATGCTGTCCAAATACTTCACCCTTTTTAAAACTAGTTTCATTTTTATGACAATATCCAACCTTGTATATTGGTTATCATTTCCAAGTTAGCAGATTTTTGATAGCGACTGAACGTTGAATGCTTCAAGATTTCTTGGGTTTGGGCTATTATTGCTTGTACTACCAGGGCTTCTTTTATGATTCTATTTCTATCGACAGTGGTATTACCTTGGTATTGAGTTGGAGAACTGTTACCATTATCATTTACACAAATATTGTTTGGATACTTGTGGCAATATATCCTACTTGTTGATCGATAAGGCACACAGACGGTCGATTTGTCTTTTCACACCATGCTTTGTTTGTTGAGGAACAGGAACAGTTATTGTTATCATTATTATTACCCATCATTGTAACTACATCTTGTAGTAAAACCAAAAGTTGCTCTATTGGATTATTTAGGAGCTGGGCCAGTACAGTTTGCTAAGCTTTGGAGTGTATAGGCTGAGTCACAGGATACATTATTCAGGGTGATGGTGGCAACATTGAGGCTGTAGAATATAATATTAAATTATGTGGTGTAGCAGGACTATATATAACATTCTTTTGGGTAAAAGATATTTCACAAGCTCAGACTTTTTCAACAGCTTCTTCAAGCATATTTGGTATAAAAGTTCTAACAGCTAATGATAATTCAGGACAGAGTTCTTGCATGAACATTTGAATCTGCATTACTTCTGGGTACCAGTTTCTCATAGCTGATACATATATAAACAAAAACACCACATTGACAGCGTACTGTTCTACTGTCTTGCCCACTTGTTGCCATCAGGTTAATAATTTTGTGGTCTACTGGTTTATTAGAGCTGGTATGCAGAAAGTTTGCTGGAATTAATATATGAAACTTTGGTCTTGCATTGCTTCATCATTCCAGTATAATATCCAACTTTTTCTTCATTTTCACCACAGCATAGCAGGATCGATTAGGTGAGCAGCCGCAACTACGAGCCACCTTGTTACTACGATATTGTTTGCTTCGAATGCTCATTTTATTGACTCAACTATTCTATAGGGTCTTGTTTTCCTTCGCTAAATATTGGAATTTTTACCAAATCTATTTTACCAAGATTCGCTTGAGGTTTCTTGGATCATGTCAACGCATCTACCATGGTCTGGAGCAACTGTTGGAGTTGGTAGTTCAGGTTATTTGACAGAATTTCATTTTGAAGGGGGTGTTTTTTCATATTTTTTGAATGTATGCCTATACTATTGTACTAATAGTTGTTTACACTATTATACCAATGTTTATTTCCACTATCATATTTACACTCGTTCACACTATTGTTGTATACATGTTTGTTCTCTTACTGTTATAGCGTTCATCCACACTTATTCCAAAACGTTATTCTCAATGTTCACTATACAATTCTATCAACATTCATTCACACAGTATTATAATACTATTGCATTCATTCATACTTGATGTTTATTCACACCCATCAGCGTACTATTAATATTATCAACTACTATAGTCGGAGATATTTCTATATATGGTATTTCTAAATCTTGCAATGATCTGCATTGTACGATGGTACAACAATTTTCTAGAATTGACAGATCAGACTAAAATGATTGGCTAAATGATTTTAATATAAATGCAAAAAGTGTAAGATGCAAGTATTGCAGTATTGTTAAATATTTGTCGCGAATCATAATAAAATCGGATTAAAATGCAATAAGGGCTTCTATTTAACCCTCTAAACCCCACTTATACTTGTTTATTATTAACTCTACCATAAAACTAACCTCTAACCCTAACCATTAACTCTAAAAAAATACACCATAAAAATTTTTATTTTTCGGTAGCTTGTCTATTTTTTATATAGTACAATATTTCATTATAACAATAATTCGATTTTATTTTAATTTATTACAATATTTTTCGCAGCCCTAATCTTAAGTATATTTCTGTATTTAGCTTTAGTCTTAAGCTCAATTGGTCTAAACTCGACAGTTTATATGTCCAATTAACAATACTGGCAAGACGGGAATCTTAAACCTAGAAAATTTTCTACTAGATTGTAACAGCCACACAAAAAGATTTTTGGTTAGCCATATTAAGCCATAATTTGTATGAACTGCCTATAAACGTTATCTAATTCCTGTATTTAAGAAGGCTTTTGATTTCGAAAATTTACCAACAGTAAGTTACATGATTAAAGCTTTTTTTTTTTTTAGGACTTCATGTGATTAATACTACAATTCAAATCTTTTATATTTATTAGGTTATTGAGACTAGTAGTTGATTATTTATTTATTTTAATTTTCTAATTCTATCTCGTTTTCAAGTTCATTTTGATCATTATGCAGATCTCTAATACTTTGTAAAATTTTTATCAACTCGCAATTAGTTTTTTGCCTTAACCTACAATAGTTTGGATGATCTGAAATATTAACAGAATTTAGCAATGAATTAATAATTGCTAAAAGCTCTTTTTTCGTCATATTTTTTTCATCCATAGCTGCTGCTTCTTCCTGAGCAGTAATAGGTATTGGTCGAGGTGAGGAATTTGATTTGCTGCTTCTAAAAGTCTCATTATTTGTCTTTCACATGCTAAATTACTGAAATCTTTCAGTTGTTCGCTAAGTAGGTGTTCCCCTCCAAGGCTCTTAAAAGTGTAATTATCATCTTGAGGATTCAAAAACCCAGTTTTACGCAAATGGACCCGAAATCTCTGTGATTTTAATGTATAATCTGGACGTATCCGGCCTCCTGATGATTCGTTATCCGCATGCCCGATAATATTAAATATTTTGTGATGTAGCTAATTATTATCAAAAAGTAAGTACAGATGTAATCTTTCTTTATTTAATACAAATGTAACTTTATTAACTTTTATAAACTTCATACAATTACGCGTGGCTATTCTCCAATGTTTTTGCGAAAGTACAGAGGAAATTAAGGCCTTTAAATATTTATTAACCTCCTCAAGAATAGCATCAAGGCCTTGATGTTGATTGCTATATCCTAATCGTGAAATAACCGAATATAACTCTATATGCTGTTTAATCTCAGGATTTAATCGCATCAATTGTTCTTCATATGTTATTTCGATTAAACGATATATAGGGTGCCTATGACCAGACTATATCAGAGCAAATATGCGTCGAGCAGCACTTACCAACAACGGTCGATTGTTTCTAATTCCCATGCGAAAATTAATGACTGCCTGGAGATAGGTAAATGTCTATAATAATTATTAGTCAAAAGTTTTAAATATATTTGATATTTTATTAAAGACCTT